TATAAATCTACATAAAATTTTATGAAAGGTACATTAAATTTCATGTACATGTATACACAAATATATTTTTTAAATACATTAAATTTAATATAATGTTATGAAATTAAGTTCAATTAGTGTAACTTAAAAGTACATTAAACTTCATAATATTTTTAACAATGCAGAAATGGATTTTTTTACATTTTGACACACGTTGGAGTTAAAAATGACGAAATGTTTTTAACTCAAAGGTTTGGGTTTTTGATATCTAATAGTGTTCACCTTTTCTATGATGCGTATAATTATCGAGTCACGCTCTTGCCCTCTCTTGTCGTTTCTCTCGAGCTACCAACGTCTCTTCCAGCGATGCGAATTTCTGATTTTATTGGCACGGCAGTTTGCGCAGGAGCCGCGAAGCGAAAGGAACCGGAGATTGTCGCGCAAATGAATTTGAAGTATTGCCGTTCCACATCTCTCCATTTGTCTCCGGTGTGGATCGGCGCTCTTTCCAACTTTCCATTATCTTACCTTTCGTTCGTGCTTCTACTTGCGTTTTACGCGCGGAACGGTTCCGCCAGATACGGTTCCTTTCCTCCTCGCGATTTCTTTTTTTGATATGTCTTTTTTTACAATCGTTTCTTCCTCTTTCTCTCTCTCTCTCTCTCTCTCTCTCTCTCTTTCTTTTTCTCTTTTGAACGACCAGCTGGGTCGATGCACCAAGCCACGTTGAAAATACTGAAGTCTAATCAGAGTATCTTCAAGCTGATAAATTTCCAAGCACTCTGCCGAAAGTGAAAATGTCACAAAAGGTTGACCGTTTCCTCTTTCGCGAAACAGCTCAACTCTCATTTCTCTCGCGTATCAAGAGTCCTTCCCAAGTTTCAGGCCAAGTACAATAATATTATCACTGAGTTAAGTCATCTCACAGTAGTCGCAAAGAATTCCCATTAAAGGATTTCAAAGGATAAGGCCGTGAGGGGGAAGATTCCTCCCGGAACTCGAGTTAAATTATCACAGAGTGTATTTGTTCCATTTTCTGCGCCAGCACCGCTAAACTAAAAGGAGAGCGCAGCCTTTTGACCTGAATACCCTAAGAGCACCGTTTTAGCCGCATATAATGTCGCTAAATAAGGGCATTAAACAGGTTATCCCATTACGTCGCAATTAAGCGGCGACATGATGCGATTTATAACGATTATCGGAAACTAGAATATACGTTGTTCCGTCTCAGGAAATATCATTTCGTAGCAGCTGAGGAGCTGTGAATAAAATACAAAACTGCGTTTATAAGTTAATTTTCCTTACCAGCCGCAGACTTTTACCGTTCATTTTATTACGGTCATTCGGCCGCAATAAAACTAATCACACTCTTTAATTATCGTAATCCCGGGCATTATTCCACGCTGTTAAGCTCGACACTAATCATCCGACGTGAAGCAATTCCGTTTATCCGCTATGAGCAGAAAACGTACGCTCTCCTGCCGCAGAACGGCTATTTCAGCGAATAGCCAGCCACTGGCGGACAATCGAGTCGATTATTTCTATGGTCATGATATAAAATGATATAATTATTATTTTCTTTTTACAAATAAAGACGTGAAATATTAGAGAAATCATACGTAATAATATTTTTATTTGGCAAAAGACTCATATTATCTACCAATATTTTTTAACCGTCGTTTGCCGATACGTCGTTTACTGGTATTCTATGGCCTTCAATTTCCTTCGTATCGAGGCCCGCGGCTATTTTGCAGTATCGTAAATCGCGAAACGTATCTAGTTGCCAGAGAGAGAACGAGAGAGAGAGAGAGAGAGAGAGAGAAAATTAAAGTTAAGGGCAAACAGGCTGCAAGCCAGAGAAAGCGAGGTCGGCTGGGCTCGAACCTCCCTTTTAAAACGCTCCCCGTGGTGAAATAAATTGGCGCCGGCGTGTTTACACGTTAGGGCGAAATTAAAATTCCTGAAGTGTTGTGAGGTAGCTCCCGGTAGGAAGAGGCGAAAGAGCGGTGCTAGCGAGCGGGTAGCCGCGAGAGAAAAGGGAACGAGGACAGAGAGGTGTATGAGCAGTGGGAGAGGGACGCAGGCGTCGACGAGCGGATGCCCGAAGGAGAAATGTGTTTAATTAATGACCGGACTAATTAAAAGTCCAAAGAAAAATACACTTGCGCAGGATCCAGGGTAGGATAACGGCCGCGCTAAAACACTCGTTCGGTGTTAATGCACAAAAGCGTCGCGACGGTGACGACGAAGGAAAGAATGGAAACGTGTCGGTTAATAAGTTCGTCCTGTTTCAATTATCTTGACATCCGGCCATCCCTTAGCGACCCGTCCGTATGATATTCCTGCAAAGTGAGCGGCGCGAAGAATCATCGAGAAATACAAAACTTTACAAGGTTACAGCTGCGTATTTCAATCAAAATGATTTTATTAACAAACACACGTGGCTGACACGTATCAAAATATACAAATTGATTTCTCTCTAGAATAAAACTAACGAAATGTTTATTGCAAATTTATAACTTCGAAGGCGCGCCCTGGTGTAATTTTCCAAGTCCCGTTTGTATCGGATCTCTCGTTTTCGCAAGCTCGAAAATGGCTTTGTTTCAAACTAGATTTCCTTGCCGTATTGATCGAGCTTTATCGAGTTGATCCGCATGTTCGCGTTCTGGTTATCCACCTACAACCTTAGTGTAATGATCATACTACGGTTTACCAATGAGCAAACGAACACATCCTGTTAATGTATGAATCTTGCAGAGAGCAAACGCGGGTTCCCAGATACAAAAGCATGCATACGCCTGTGTACCTGACACCGCTGAATACATATATCCGCGCGGTACATATTATGCGCTCTAAGATACGGTAGTTTCTAATTAAATAATTAATAGCTAATGAGTTAGGTATGTCGTCTATATTGTGAAACTCGCAAGATATACACACGCTTCCTTACTGGAACAATCACACGTACTACGTGCATTCCGCAGGATATTCTGAAATATTCAACTACTCGTTCATATACACATACATACATATATACGTATACACACGTTCGCACGAAATTATTATTTCCAACGACAATAAGGGGCGCGATATTAATTATCTACCGTGCGTTCGCTAAGCATAATCACCATAGGAACGTGATCGCGTTGAATTTGTGGGAAATACGAAGCTCAAATAGCTCCGACTACGACCGATGCGTCATCAAACTCCGGAACTCAATTTATCGAGGAGACAGTAAGCTCGCAAAACAAAGTCCATGTGGGTATCGATACCCGTCGAAGATAATCTCGATACCGCTAGGAAATTCCTGCGGGGGACCCGACGCCGACGCACCGGTATAACAAAAAAAACAAAAGAAATCCTCGACGACACCGTGCTTTGCGTTACGGATGACGCGACGCCGCTGTAAATAAAACGACGCGTTACTAATTTAGATTTCTGTCAGATAAAGCCGTCCTGCAGGACGTCCGTCACGGCGCTCGTCATTCAATTGCATTTCGATACGACTCGATCTGCGCGTTCGTGTACTGATATTAAAAAATGTCCAACACATGTGAAAATATACATACATATATATATGATAGCGCGGTAATCGTCACGATTATAGCAACAAGATTATTACTCATATGAAAACACAGTCGATTTCATATTGCGTCACTTTGTGCACGAAGATACTTATCTACATGACCGTGGAAAATTCAAGTGGGGGTAATTATGCAGCGACGCAGAAACGATCAGGCATAATGACTTCCTTGTTGATTCCTAAACGTACGTCACAAGTGTGTAGTATAATTAAAGAGTTTTATTATAATAAAAGAGTATCGTACACGGTACAGATTTTTGAAACTTTTTATAAATCATATTCGACAACGCGTCTCTCAGAGATAATATTGCGTTTTCAACAGTTTTATATCGCGCAAATCTTTAAATCTCTATTCTTCCATTTTCACGTTTTTGCCACTCGATGCTAAAAAAATTGTGAAGAAGATTTATAATCGTCAATAATGCTTTGTTGCAGTTATCTTGTTTTCGACGTCACATCGAACTGTCTAGCGTTACAGGCTCGATGATATGGCGATATATTTCACGGGTTGGCACAATATCACATATCCCACGAAACATTTACGCGTTTACGTAGGCCTCGCGAATCCAATCACGGAAATGACTGATGGAGGTAAATCCAACGTACGAGTTGTAATCGCAAGTGCCTTTGTTCTCTGGGCTTACACTCACAATGCCGCGAAGATACCAAACGCCATCCTTCTCGAAGCACAAGCCGCCGCCGCTATCTCCGTCGCAGACACTCGAGCCTAACAATTATGCAATTACTTTCATTATGAACGATTATAAAATACTAAAGAGAATCATTTTTTTCGATTTGTAGCAGAGATATGCAACCATATCATTACAATTACTCCACTTATCATCACTACTTGATATTATCAATTACTGCGACAATCTTGCAAATTCTCTATGAGAGCAAGCAAATAAATCTAGCAAACGTTTACACGTACGTAAACTTACCGTTCAAGTGGCCGGCGCAGAATTTGTCGGACGTGAGATATCCTCGAAAATCTCGAGGAACCGCGGACAAACACTGATCATACGGCACGAACGGCATGTCAATTTCGTGTAAGTTCTGGGTGGATTCGCCTTTGATGTCTTTGCCCCAGCCGACCACCTGAAATCACGAAGTGAGCTCACGTGTCCGTTTTTATTTTCTCTTTACATTTCATTCTCCCTTCGTTCTCGAACGACGCGACGGTCGATCCCCACTCGCGATCGGATACAAAACCGCGTGAGTACGAGGTACGTTGCTGCACTCGTAGCAATTAACGTGAACACGATGTAACAATGTCCCAACATGCACGCAGTCGAAGTTTAGTTCAAAACCAGGTCGTTAATGCAGTTTACAACTAGTATCTCGCCAAATGTACTTTCGCTCGGACATTACAAAGCGCCTTTGTAATTAATTAAATTGTGCTAAGACGTCAATTAGTCGGTTCTCACGATTGATACTTGACCCGTATTACCTTGCCACTGTGTCCCACTTGCAGCTGCTCCCTCTCGTACGTGTTGTCCCAATCTACGCAAGCGGGTCTCACTAAGGTAGTCAGCTCGAAGGGCGTCTTCAACTTTAATACAGCTATGTCGTTGGCGAAATTACCTCTCGCTCCCTGGTACCTGCCGCTCGCTAGGATGCTCTCCACCAACGATTTCTGCGCGTATTTTTCTCTGGCGCTCCAATCACGATAATGCTTTCCGGCGGCCACAGCATATCCCGATTCGTTGTACAGTTTGTTGTAAACCTCATCGTAGAAACAATGGGCAGCTACGAATACACGCGACGAAAGTAAATCTAAGAATAGAACGATTCACCAGCCCGATAATTTACCTGATACGACGAGATTGTTGTTAATTAAAGTGCCGCCACATATCTGCTGGTACCCGTCCGTATTCTCCTTAGCGTAAATACCCACGTGCCATGGAAATATCCCTGTTCTGGCTGTGAATCCATTTACGATTAACGTGTTGCCGTGCGCGATGGACGTTCCGCATTCTAATTAACCAGAATGTCGTTAATATTTTTTGCAGTACGATGGCACGATAATTGCAGGCGAACGGCCGGATTATAAATCACTGGCTGGAATAAAGTCTCGAAACTGTAATCTTATACGCTCAGATAGCAATTACTGCAGAAAAACGTCATGTGGTCTACTAATGGATGGTAACATGCACGGTTGACGTTCAATCCGTCCAGACTTTTTCGTTTTTCGTTCCTCATATCAGGAAGTATGCAAATGACAAGTACCTGGTAGACAGCGAAAAAGGCGACGATCCCATAAACCATCGTCGAGACACGTGATCTCTCTGTAAGCTGGATCGTTCGTTAAAGGTAATTTATAAGATGATTTACAGGCGAGTGTAGCCTGCGTACCAGGCAGTATACGCTCGCTACAGGACACCGTTTTCCCGTGGTGGCTGCAGGAAATGTCTACGCTGGTACTGTTCAACGGTGAACAGATTTCTACGGAGATAATCAACGAAGAAGATAAACAATAAATTTTATATTATATGACGCGTCATTAAATAAGGAGAATATTATTTCTAGTAGAGAGAGAGAGAGAGAGAGAGAGGTCTTAACTCGATGCTTCTAAAAATATAAATATATACCGTTGAAATAAACTTACTATTGCATGAAGGCGGCTGATACCACCGATTGTCGACACAAACGGAAATGGTGTTTCCTTTCAACATGTAATTGCTCTTACAGGTATAATTGAGGAAGCTGTTTTTAGGAACTGTATCACCAGGACGTTTATCGCAACGTTCATCACAACCACCCAATTCGTAATGCCCACCTTCTGGTTGTTCAGGTAGAACACAGCTGTCATCATTATTTCTGTTCCTATAATTTCGCAAATATGTAAAATATATAAAATTGTACACTTAGAGCTAAGATTTCAAAATAGATTTAAAAATAGAAGTTCAGAAGGCTATCAGAAAGATAACGATAAAAAAAAGAAAAAATCAAGTATGTTTTACATCCAAGTCAAGTATTATATTACCGTATTTATTCATGTTATAAGTAATAAATTTCGAAGAAGCAGCATTTAAAGAAGATACATAATTGATATAAATACATGCGTAGTTAAGAAGCATTTCTTACGTCATACAAAATTCTTCATCGCTGGAATCACGACAATCATTTTTATTATCACACTTAACCCTTCGCGGTAGGCACTCGTTACTTCCACAATGAAATTCGTCGTCTCTAATTAAAAATTATTAAAATTTTTTTGTTAATTATTTAACTAATACGAATATAAACAAATACCATTTCCGTCATACATTAATAAAGAATTATATATTTTTAATTGAGAGGCAGTCAGATGTACCTGCACTGTCGATTCTGTGGATATTCATTCTGATCGGATATGCGATCGCCTGGACCATGGGGGCCCTCTCTATTGTAATCAGGAGAAGGTCTTTGAATGGATCCACCGTTATTTGAACTTGGATAATTTTCATCGTTATTTGGACGTGGATAGTTTTCATTGTTACTTGGACGTGAATAGTTTTCCTCGTTATTTGGACGTGGATAATTTTCATTGTTATTTGGACGTGAAGGGTTTTCGTTTTTACTTGGACGTGAATAATTTTCATCGTTATTTGGACGTGGATAGTTTTCATTGTTACTTGGACGTGAATAGTTTTCATCATTATTTGGACGTGGATAGTTGTCACCATTATTTGGACGTGGATAATTTTCATTGTTATTTGGACGTGGATGGTTTACATTGTTATTTGGACGTGAATAATTTTCATCGTTATTTGGACGTGGATAGTTTTCATCATTATTTGGACGTGGATAATTTTCACCATTATTTGGACGTGAATGGTTTTTATTGTTATTTGGACGTGGATGGTTTTTATTGTTATTTGGACGTGGATAGTTTTCACCACTATTTGGATGTGAATAATTTTCATCATTATTTGGACGTGGATAGTTTTCACCTTCGGACGAATTTTCGATGTCCACTTTGTTCCAGCCCGGAGGACGTTTACCATTCAATCCTGGAGGACCGCCGCCCCCTAATCCGGGAGGACCGCGACCACCTGGTGGCCCTTTACCACCACCCCCCCATTTATTATGACCCGGTGGTCCGGAAAGATCAGTGTTGCCGCTCCACTTGGAACGACCTGATGGGCCATTCGCGGCTGTTGTTTCGTATCGATCAGAAAAGCCATAGTCCAAAATCTGCGCACGAGCCTGTAGAGACACTAAAAGAGTGAATATAATTTCTACGTAAATGCTGATTCTCGAAAATTTCTCTATCACATATACGAGAAACAATAATAATATCAACAATAATAATATATAATATTAATTTCGTATTGAAATGTAGTTAATCGCAAACAAGAAAATTATTCAATGGAAAAATTACCGACTTGATTATATTGTAGAAAAAAAAGGCATGTATAAAGACAGAAATAAATTCGATAAACTATTCTCAAGGATTCTGCGTTTGTATAGAGCATGATTGCTTCGATCTTTGAATATTGCAAAAAAACCGGTCAATGTAAACTTGTGAGGGAATTCGTAGTCGCGCGTTAGTTCATGAATATTCAATTGTCACCCGGCAAACAGGAATTATGTTTGGTTTCTGTCACATTTCCATTTTGATTTCAAATACAGAAGAACTTTTCAGAAACATCGCGATATGTGTTAATATTGAGAATACTCTCGTCATTGCACGTTGTATGTATGATTATTACGGATCATTTTTCATTCACGCCAGATAAATTTCATTAATTGCTCGACGATTTGTCTAGTTATTCGATGATACACTATGATACGTATCGCGTAGAATGAGAACGCGATGCTTAATCTCGCAATTAAATCGCATCGTTGCGCGAAGTTGCGAACTTTCGTGGCCATTCTTCGCACGGAACTCGATGGAGCGGCAAGACAACGTCGGAAACAACAGCGGATCAAAATATTATGTAAGTTACTCACGCGACGGCAGTAAGGCAAGAAACGACAGAGCCACCGAGAACACAACGCATGCGTTCGTAACTGGCATGGCTTTCGTCGCTCATAGTCGGCGAGGAACTGACCGCTGTTCCACGTCAGACCTGTCAGGCCCAGTCAACACGCAGAATATCCCACGATAATGTAGAGATCATTTCGCAAACGGCGCAAAATGGCACTGTGTCAAGGAAAGAGCTCGAGGATAACAATGTCAGCAAAGAAATTCGTAGAAACGTTAATAAAACAATGTCAAAATAAATAATAACAATTTGTCCGCGTGTTATCGAGAATATATATATATATATATATTTAAATAACGCTAATAAAACGATAACGAGTTAATGGGATTGTAATTTATTCGTACATATTTTTAATGATTTTATCTCAATATGATTTTATCCAGGGACCAACGCTGTGTGACCTGATCTGTACTTGTTTCACTATATAGCTTCTGTATAGCTTCATCAATGCGCTAGTTACCACCGAAAGTTAGTAACTTTTGCGCATCGTATTACTCGCGATAAGAGCAAGAGTCGATAAATTCAAGCAACTCGGCTGAAACGATAATCACGAAAATGAACGTTTTACTCCAGAAACATGGAGCTAAACATATATATAAGGTCCCGGAAGGATTACGCGAACTATGCACCGACATCGCACGCGAGGTTCGCTCTATGAAATCGTTATTTGACTTACCGCCATCACGTCAAAGGACGATTAAATTATTATCTGATCCGTAAAGGTTCTGCGCTCGCAACCGAGGAACATTTATTGCTTTGTCGCTGATTATGTCGAAGCGCTTTTGATCACACGGGAAAATGCAAAAGGTACTCTGTCATCTACAACAGTTTCACAATCTCGGACGTCTCGATGTTATGTATATCATTCGCAAACAGACGCTATAATTGGAACGTTAAGCTAATTAATTACTAATGTTTACATGCATGCGTACTGGTATGCCAGTTTGTCCCACGAATCATTATGTTAATTCGAAGGTTGCAGCGAATGACCGCGCATATATCATCCGCGTGTGGTAAAATACGCGCGACAATCGTAAATCGCACTATAATCGTGCATCGCGTTCTACAGTCGTACAATTGTACAATTCCAGTCGCGGTGAAAGTCGTAAACAATATTTTATTGGGGAGTCAAGCCATCGTAGATATACTTCACCGGAGCGGCTTGAATTTGGAGCAGATCGTCCGTGCCGCGCCCAGGATTCAGGTATAGAATTTACTGTCGCGTGCCGGATAAGGATCCAGCAGTTAAATAATATTTCAGACATTCTTTCGTACTTTTTTTGGATTCAGACGGCGTTCCGCGCGTACTTGGACGCGGTAGACATGCGAGCGACCCAGGTGCGCGACGGTAATTACACGGTGAATTATGTAGAAAAACAATTTTGCGGCGGGTAGACCCGCCGCGCGCGGTATTTCTGTAACGTGTAACGGACAAAAAGTACGCGAGAGACATTCTTCCTCTTTCGACCGCAGACACAACTTGCGACGAGAGATCCAAGGTATCTCTGCAAAGTATTCTGCAAGCGACGGAGGTCCCACTGGAACAGGCAGAGAAGCATGCCACGATAATACAAGTATGCGCTAATTACTATACGAGAGATCCAACTAGAGAGAGACCTTCTGTCACGGATCTTTAATGCTGATCACAGCTCTTTGAATCATTTTCGGTGTTATTAATCAGGCCGCTTTCCGTGAGCATTACGAGAGGATGCTATTAAACGAGTCCCGTGGCATGATTCAATGGCAACGAGCGGCAACAAGGACCCTCGAGATCCTGAGAAAGGCAGGAGCTTCGCAAGCAGAGGCGTCGAAAGCCGCCATTTTAATACAGGCTACTTACCGCGGCTACTATACAAGGAGAAACTTAAAAATGAAAACGCGTAAGATCACTCAGATTGCACCTAGCGCGTTTCTAGGTGCACCAGGATATTTCAAATCGTATTTACGACCTCTTGCAGAGACTATGCAATCGCAGGAGGAAGAGAAAAAAAGCGAGGTAGACATGATAGAACCCAAAGAAGACGTTCAAGCAGTAGCTTGGTTGGATATGATGTACGAGAAATCAGGACTGACATCAATAAGAGCAAATGAAGCTGCATCCACTATACAAGTAAGCAAATAAAATTATATGTAAAATTATTATATACATTATATATCATATTTGTCAAATATATACATAAAACTGAAAAAAATAATCATTAATTGTCACAAATGTCATGTAGAAAGCTTACAGACGGTATCGCGAGAGAAAAAATAACTCTAAATCGCCAGTAGAATCAACGACATCGACAGTGACAGAAGCCATTCTCAAAAATTTGCATCAGAAGGTTTTCGACGAAGTCTTGACCCGTGCGGACATCCCCGCAGAATTTGGTAATCGAGAGGATTTGACGAAAGCTGGCGAAGAACTTCAACGTGCTTTTAAAGATCGATTAACACTTGCTCGCTTGACACAAGGTATAAGCGATATCTGTATAAAACATTCATTTTAAATGTGATATCACAATGAGAGAGAGAGAGAGATTAGCTTATATAAATCTTTAAAAATACTAATCTATCTCAGATAGTAATCTAAGGAACACATTAAATCAAGAGAAAGTCAAAATGGCGTGTTTTGACGTCAAAATGATGATTTTTTGACACAAAATTTGACTTTAAATATTAAAATTAAGTCATTTTAACGTTAAAATGACAATAAAATTTGCTACCTGGAATATTATATTCATCTAAACATATAAACAGAATACGACGAGGAGAAATTCGCTTACGAAGAGGAGTCTGATGAATCATTTGAGAAAGTGGTGGACTCGATTAGCGTGCCAGAAGATTGGCAAGAAGATCGAGAGATCGAAATAGAATCGGAACGTGACGAAGAAACAAACGCGTACGTGTAATATTAGCGTCGAAGAGAGAGCTGAACTTTCCAGGAGGGGGAGGAAAAAGCGTCGCGAAGCTGCGGAATCCTTTCCAGAGACCAACGAGATGAGCCAATTAACATGGAAGCTGTGGGCGAACAGTGCGAGAGAAGAAACGAAACAATGAGCGTACGGCCATCACAAAGAGCCCAGCAAGCGAAAAGTCGTCTCCGGAGGCAGCCAAATGTCGGAGACACCATGGTTTTTAATGTACATGCTTACATTCGATAATTCCGTTAACGTGCCGCGTTTTCGTAGTGAGCTTAAAATTCTCCCAGATGGAAACTGGCTCTCTTCCACACGTATTTGAATAAAACGAGTTAAGAGTTAATTGTCCCACTGTACAAAGTTAATTTAATTCAAGTAATACGAACTAAACCGTTTCATGGTCTTGTCTAAAATTTGATTTACATAATTTTTATTCTTAACATTTAGCGTTGTGATACTCCGCTATATTATTTCGCTGCATTAATATACGGCGGGTAAGTATCTCGTGGAAAAAAATTCAATGCGGTTGAAACAGGGAAAGATGCAAAGCGCGAGAATTTCGCTTAAATTTTTCACGCACATCGCTGTACAGTTTATACACAGTATCTACTACCGCGATTAAAATGTAGATGAAAAAGCACGAGATTTCAAATAAATTTTAAATCGTTTTTTATTCCAATGGTTTCTCGCTGAAAATAACTAGAAAATACAAAAATTGGGGTAAAAAGTCCATGAACGTGTTTTGTGAAACAAAATTGAATTAGGAGACACGTCTACAAGGCGGTCGACTCGAGCAACAGCGGGTGGCAGCCATCTCGTTCAAAGGCAGCTTCAATCGGTCGAATTCACCCTCTGGCGGCTCGTGTCGGCCACATACACGACCACATATTCTCGCGAACGCGGCGGTTCCGCAGTTCTCGCAATGTGCAGCTCGGCAACTGTGTCTCATCCTCGGTCCCTCGTGCGAAACCGCGTTTACGATCTCAAGCGACGACCCCGGCTGATCGATGATTTCCGAAGTCAACGATTTGTTACACTCATCCTTGTTCCCTATCCTGTCGCCCGATTGCGCTCTATCCCCGCACCTTCTGCCGCGCCACTTCCTGCTGGCTTTATATTTTTCAGCGAGGATGCACATGGAGTCCTTGTGATTGATAACAACCACGCTATCGTCGTCGTCTTCGTTGTCGTTGTCGTCGTCGTCGTCGTCGTCGTCGTCGTCGTTCTTCTTCTCCTTGCATTCCTCATCGTTTCGCTCACGAGAGGCGGGTATTATTCCAGAATACTCCTTCGAGTAACACTGCCGCGCGTACAATCGACTATTCTCGCCTCGCATCTGATCGCGCCAGCTTTTGTGTTGAGCTTTCTCGCCGGAGATGCCGTTCCCGCGCGTCTCACATCTGCAATATGAATGATGCGAAGAGAGTGAATTAAACAGAGATTGTAGCTGCGGGGCATTTTCATCCCCTCAATCACATATTTTCCGCCTCACCCTCCTTCCCCGCTCATTCAACTTCTTTTTTTGAATAACGATATTTTATAAAATTTATTAAGAATTTATAGGAATACGTGAAATACACGATGATCAATACTTAACACATGATATAGGAAAACTAGGTGTAAGATTTCTGCAGTCGTTCAAACTTTTATGATCAATCCGAAATTGGCTCCAAATCTTATAATGTTTTCGATCGTTATAACGGGTTTGAATCGATCTGGGATGGATTTGATGTTGCGTGCTCTACTATTTATTAGTTAAAACCCGCTACGGTCGAAAACCTTATTAAAAACTATTAAAAACTAATACAAATCCTTTAAAAATTCATCACAAATCAATTCAGCTACCATGCGTAATGTTACATGAAAAGGGCGGTTTTGCTGAAGTATATACAAATTTAGTCAAGTACAAATCTAAAAATAATTTTATTGAACATTGAAATAATTATATAGGATGTTCAAATTGGTTACTAGAATATCAAAACTTTTTACTGCATTGCTCATCACTTGAGATTCCTACGTAATTACTTTAAAGGTCCAACAAAATTATCTTCAGATCTGTTTCTAACGAAATTTTTAAATACTTCAGTAAAACCGTTCTTTCCATCTACATTTTGTATTCTTAAGATCGTGACTTCACGGTTTGGAGATTCTCTCTAATATATTATAAAAAGGTCTCTTATTAACCCTTTGATATTTATGCACAAGCTGTCGCGTTGCGGACAACAGCAATGCCGATGGGAGCAATCGCAATAATAATTATGGCGAAGGTAGCATTCATCTCGGCAACGATCGCACGACGATCTTGACAGATTCGGAATAGAATCTTCGCGCGGATGACATTCGCACTGGCATCGCCAGGTTGAATCTACAATTTTCCGATGGGTCGAATGAGATTTGGTCAAAGTATTCGCCCTCGTCCACATGTCTTCGACATCCGAACTACGGCCCCGAGTGTCGCTGGTAACGATATCCTCCTCCGCATTGCCACCAAGATCGATGGATGTTCCATGACAACTTGACGACGCGAACTCCTTGCTCCTGTCCTCCGTAAAATCGCCGCACGCGACTTTGTCGTGCTTCTCACAGGACGCAGAGTCACACGGAGGATTTACGTTGGGATCCACATTCGAGCATGGTCTCGACCGGCAGCGCGCTTTACAATGATGATAAGATGTTGGATGTGAGGATTGCGGGATCCGTTCTATCGATCTGACAGCGTCGCTGTCGTCCGTCGATCTCGACGCTACGTCGCATCTGCATTCGCGTAAAGGGAGATGATTTTACGAGAGATGTTTTGAACAAGTTCCATGCCAACTTCATTAACTCGTCATCCGCGTATGAGTCACTGGGTAATTCTCTGTGACTAAAACTGTATTGTGTGCTAATTACGATTTCAAAAGAAGTATTTATTATAATTTATAATCTCAGGTCGTGGTATTTATAGCCGATTTCAAGACCGTCTTAATAATTAAGTAATGTCTTAATAAAATGCTAATACTCTTTGTGATTGGTTCGTTACATATTAAGATTGTACAACAGTTTTATGCCCATTTCTATCAATGTAGATTAACTTTAATCTCAATTCAGCTTACTCTTCACTTTTTCTAATTACAAATAAAAATTAGTAAAAGAGTAAGTTAAACTGAGATTAAAGTTAATCTATATTGATGGAAATGAGGATTAATATCTTAAGATTTGACTATGAATATATCCACAGAGAGCAATGCGACACTTGTCACGACAATGTCAAAATGACATCAGAAATGATTGAAAATGACTTTTAATGATCATTTTGGAGTCATTTTGACATTATTTTGATATCATAATGGCTTGCTGTTCTGCTTGGGTAAGCCTGAGTGTCTTGGTACATCGTTAAATGCCAATGTTTCGCGAGCAATTCATTTTATTAGGGCGAGATACAACCTGATATTACGCTTTTATTGTGTCGTAAACTATATAACTTCCTTGAAAAAAATACGCGTAGAAGTCTGAGAAGCATCATAATTACGTGTCTTTTTATAGTCAAAAATATCGATGAATGGCTGAAAAATGAACTAAAAATCCAGTAAATTACCAGTAACTCACACAGCCTAAAATGTATTAATCATAGCGCTTTTTTTTCCTTTATGCAAAATCCTGAGAAGCGAAACGTTCAAAACTCATCTTTTCCATTATGAGATTTGACAAGAATCATTTTTTAAACGTCGTATCTTTTCATAATGCTAACGCAATAACAGGACGAAGAGTCCAACCATTAGTTCATAACTGAAATATACTGAAAACATTGCAAAGCCGAGACGTTGCAAACAGGGACAAACCTGTCTGGGTCGACCAATTTCACAAATTCATTTTTACGATCGGCGTCCGATGACGCAAACTCCTCGCGCTCTCTGCTTGGCACGGTATCGACCGCATCTCCGCCACTGCACTCGTCCCCCAGCTCCGAAATATCCTCGCCGACGTTTCTTGTCCGGTAGCAACTGCAGCTGATCGAGTTCTCCTTGTTATAGGAACGATCGAAGTCGTGATTCCGCACGCTCGCTGGACAAACATGATCGGATCTCGAATTGTATGCGCGTCTCACCAGCATGGAGCTCGATCTGACTTGATTGATAGGCTCTTCGCGGCTCGTAGTGGTTTTCTGCGTCTGAAAACACGCATCCGTCAGAAACACAGTTAATAAATTGCCCTCGATACGATCGACATGAATCATAACGCGAAATCAAATGTAAATGGGCTCTGACTTAAATGCAAAAGTATAATCATGGAAATCTTAAAACTGATCACGGATAGATGTTTGTCGTTGACTTTTTTTTATACAATTATAATTCGGTGTAAAACCTTTGTATTTCCGGATTCACGTTCGACGGTGCTTTCGAGGCCGAAGTCCTTCGGAAATTTGCGGCGGGCACGTCGAAAAGCGATCGCCGCTGCGACAAGCTGATGAGACGACGATGGACAAAGCGACATTACCGAAAAGCGATTATGGTAGCTGCAAGCATCTCTGTGATGTGGTAACCAGTTCAGGCGATGGTCCTGATTACAATGATCGATTCTGGAAATTCGGAATAGTCGAGACACAGGCCTTTATCACCTGTTATCCAACGAAGCACAAAATATTTCCGAGGAAGGTTACCGATCAATATCACAATTGACGCGTGTAATTTGTCAATTCGTATTCGCACGCATGTGACATATGGTCGTTAGCTTCACCTTTGATAATCCAAGACGACATTTAACGATTGTTATTCCGTATATTTCTCCGATAATTTATACCTGACGAATATTTAATCTTTTTATAGTTACTTTATTTTTAATCTTGACAAATATGTTAATGTAATAATATAATATAATTTTGGCTAATATAATATATAATTACTTCAAGACGAAAATATTTGTCTTGAAATAATTATATATTATATTAGCCAAAATTATATTATATTATTACATTAACATATTTGCCGAGGTTAAAAATGAAGTAACTATAACAAGACTAAATTTAAAGATTAAAATCGATCTCTCCTTATCAATTTTCGTAAATTTCAAGCGGAGCATTGAACTTCTGGAGATTAAATGCTTCGAGCCGCAGTAAAAATTCCTTCTCGAGCTTTCGCTTCCGAAGAAAGAATTCACCGCGAGAACGACGTTACAGTGCGCCTCGCTATCCGGCAAATTAAACTTCCCCGAAGTATCGGGAACGCGGTCGCGTAACACACGGGAAAGGCTGCAAGTTTTCTGACGTAGCGGCTAACAGACCACCAGATCCGGATAACGAGCGAGTCCTGCGAGCCGCCGGCGGCTTTATCGAATTTGTATCGAGCGGAATTTCACCCCATCCCCTCGCCACTCCCTCGCTTGCCCTGGAACACGGACGCCTTGGTCAGGATTTGATCGCCGTCTCTGCTACTGCCGCTACTGCCCTCCACCCGTCAACCCGGCGGCGTTTAACGGGGCTAATTGCGACGATTGCTCGCTGCAAATGGAAACGGTGCGGTTTTATCGTTGTTTGCCAAATCGCGTCGATGTGGAAAACGGCAATCCATTCTGCGTGGCAAAAACGTGACGATAGACAAAGGCTGTCGACATGAAAGTAGCTACTTAATTGGCAATAACGATTTATTGTTGGCTTTGCATAAAAAAACTGCATTAACTGCATACATCGTTTATACGTGTTACATACCTATCTATAAGTAAATGAAGAGGATGATACAGTTTCACCGAAAAAAAGGAAACATATAAAGTAAATTATTACTCGCATGAGAATATCCAAAACAAGTGATCTTTGAATGCGCAATGACAGTTTAATTCAAATAATAACGCTATTATATTTTCTTGTATACATACATAATATGTATGTATGTTATATAGTATTATATACATATATGTATATGTGTATTGATGTGTATGCTATACAAGAATCACATTACTAAGTGTAATCCTGAAGATATAGTCTACAATTAATAATTAACTATCTCGCAAACATGACATTGTTATTATGTATAATTTCACACTATCTCTATTTCTCTTTCTCTTTCATTCATTCATTTTCTCTTCCTCTCTCTTTTTTAGCGTACAATTTAAATTATATTGTATAAATAATCTTTAACATTTTTACAAATTTTTACATATAGTTCGGTATTCCCCTTCCTTAAAATAGATTATTAAATTATAAGAATTGCCATAAGGAACATACAATTGAGTGTACGTAACACGATGCAGTTCTAATTATTCACATTTATCAGATCTTTGCAGCTTGAGTCTCAGCACTTCATTATTATGTCTTGTGTCAAAACAATGTCACTTTCATCAAAATCACATCAATCGTCATCCAAGTAGAAGCGACATAACAAGAAATACTGTCTACTGTAGTTTTATGATTTTTAGTTCATCCATGGTGGGCAGGACGTCGGCGGTTGATATGTCTGAGAGATTGGCACCTGATAATGCTGCACCGTTTGTGCAGGATGCTGCGGTCGCGGTTGTTGATGATGCGGCGGTGGTGGCGGTGGCGGATTGCAGATCGATTGCATCAATGGATGCGCGTTGTAAGGCGGCGGTTTCGTCGTATAGGGTGGTATTTGATTGTATTCGACGTTTAACTGCTGCTCTAACACGGCGGTCTGAGTGGGAGAGCGATTACCATCAGTGGGACCTGAAAACAGTATCACATCCTTAAAGACTTGTCAATTGTCACATCGTGCATATAAGAATTACAATAATGTGCAGATTTATTATATTTCTTTGTCTTTTATTATTTATACCAAGGAAGGCTGACATAATCATAAATGATTGGTAATTTGCAACAAAGAAAACATAACTTAAAATTCAAAATTTTAAGATAAAAATAGTTTGATATGACAAATAAATCAAATGTCTACCTCGTGATCTGATCTGAGGTGGAGGCATGTTAATAGGAGGTAATCCGGGACAGACTGTAGGAGGTTCCCCTTCCCTTGGAATAGGCGGTGGTCTACCCCAAGGAATCCTCACGTGATGATTTTGCCACGGCGCCTGCGGCGAAGATGGAGGTAGAGGTGGACCGTTGCCGACATGAATATTTCCAGATTCCGCCATTATATTTTGATCATTTCCTATTTACAAAATATATCAAATAATCTAACCATCCATAGAAAATATAAAATCTTTTTTATGATATATCTCTCAACATATTATACATTAAAAGTACCTGAAGATAATCCTGCAGGCTTTTGGTCCAGATTTCGTTTCTCACCTAAACGATTAAGACATAAGATATAAAAAGAAAGATACAGAACAGTCTTAAACAACTAACATAACATAATATTGTATTTATAAATATGGCAAATTATGCGATGAAATATTGTAATAAACTTAAAAAATTCTCGCTGTATTCAACAAAACACGCACAATTAATCTTGACAGTTTCAATATCTATTGAATCATATGTTCACAAACGAAAAATGTAAACTTAATTTTTTTTTCTGAATTTGGATATAAATCTAATTGTAAGAAAATTACTAAGACTATATCTGTATTATAAGACTGCTGCCGGTTTTCATCTTCCGCTTGAGACGTGTCACTGTGGCAATAAACAGCAATTTAGTTTTCTAAATTTGAATTTAATCTTACAAGACTAAATTAAATATTAGGACAATATTTCACGCCATTAACCATTGCCAAATCAGCAGAGCGATTTGGCAATCGCTATCTGAGTCTGAAAGCAAGCAATGCAATTTTTACATTCTTATGTGTATTAGATGGTTACCGCTTATCAATTACACTAAACATTTGAAGCCATACAGTTATTTGCTATCTGGATATAAAGTAAATTTAATTATTAGAACTATATATTCTTCAAATTTCTTCCACTTTTTCCATTACAGATAACTGCTCAGAATACTGCAACACAATAGAGACGATATAATATCCACAGGTCATGTGTTATTTCGTATTAATGTTACATAATAATAACATTAAATATATATCTAGTTAAACGTAATAGTGTCATATATATTCCCTCCTTGGTCTTTCTTTGGCGGAGACACGCGTTTAACCTAAGGAATATAAAAGTCCAAGGCATTGAACTTAAAATAGTAATATCAAAAATATATATGTATAATATGCCTTAACATAATCCTATTAATATTAGATATGGTTAATAATGGATAAACAAACATTGAAGTAGAAAATCACAGGTTACACTTGCATCTGAAAATGCAGATTTATTTAATAAAAAGGACACTATAAAAAAAGCGTTAAAATTAATATACTTGAGACATCGTCGCAACTGTATAACACGTGCAATGCTTTTTTGTCTAATCTAAAATAATAATAATAAATAAATTTTTAAAGATAACTATATGTCAAAGCATTCTATGCACACTGTGAGATTGCAATAATCCATGTTATTTCCGGACGTCCGTTTCTGCAGGTATCCTCAACAAATGCATAAAAAAGCAATTTGCTAAGACATAAATTAAAAGATCAAGGAAAATTTGTATAATATGCTTACCACAAAATATTATTTACATTAATAATATACTACGGTCTAAGAGTATTAAGAAAATAGTGCTAGATATCTATCTGAAACATATTTTATTTTCTCAAATTTAATTATTTATGATTTAGTTACTTAAATTATACATCCACATAATTGTATATTAAATTTTAAAAAATATAATTGCCAATAACAAAATTGTATAAAGAAGAAGTCCAAAGTCTCAAGAAAATAATTAAAGATGAACGCTTCCTTCAAAAATACAATCTTTCTACTGGCATATCTTTTTATAATATTCAATATGACATTTCCGATTTCCAAAAGATATCCAGCAATTTTTCAAACTAAATACTCTTAGTTACAGACCTGGATGTGGAGGTGGCATTAGCATCTTGTTTCGATCTCCATGTGGTAGACCCGCAGGTGTGGGTAATGGACCATGTAAGACTTGCTGTTGTCGATCACCTTCTCTGCTTAAACAATGCAGGTGCGAATTATTAATTCCAAAATAACAATTTTACAGAAACGTTTCAAGCATTAAGACAAAAATCACCTGATGCACACCCTCGGATACTTCTGAAATGTGGAAAATACCTGGTTTTACCAGATCACAGTTAATGATGTCGAAACTTACATTTAGAATATTCCAAAGAACGTAACTGTAATGTCATAGGACATTATAATATACGTTCAGATAATCTATGTATCATTATTTTAATTTCTATTCTGCAAAGTAGTAACTATCGTCGCACATTCCGTCTCTTTTGGCTCATTACTTATACTAAAAGAACATGTATTGGTGATTCTGGCAAAAGCTTTTATTTAGTGATTTTAATATAGAATTATGTGTAACATGAGGAAAATGCAAGTATATTATTATCTTTGCATTATATATTGCAAAGATAATAAAATTACTTCATATTTTTCAAGATCTATACAACCATGCAAAATTCAAAGGAAGGAATAATATTTTGTGTGTGGAAGAGCAAGATATATCCATAATTACAAAATTATTAACTATTTATAAATATGCAAAATTAACATTTTTCATCAAATTAAATTATTTTCAAAAGCTGACAAGCTTGAAAATAATTTATATCTTAACATGGATATATCTGAATCTTACAGCAAATAATTATTGTTCATATAATTATTAGATTTTGGAGAATAGCAATAAATATATCTGTGAATAAAAAAATATCTATTACAAAAATTTCATAAAATACTTAAATTTTCATTTTCTGCACTTTTAATATTATCGTGCAACACCTTATAATGCAAAAGCAGGTTTCTGTAAAAAAAAATGACAATGACTTACATTTTCTTCATGTAATTCTACAACAATTTACAAATTTGCACTTGCTACAAGTGAAGCATAAGCGATCTGAAGCAGTTGTTTCTTTATCAATTTCTTTCTTCATATTGATAAACTTCTTTCTAATCTTCGATTAAATTCATTGCACGTTTACGCTACAATATCCTATGATTCTGAAAATTATCAGCTTTTTTTTTAGTAATGTTTATTTCAAAATTTTACACACTTGGTAGATTAACTTTATTCAAGCGAACAAGTTTTTTCCATCCACAATCTACCAAGGTATAACTAGATATAAAATTATATAATATACAAAGTAGTTACGTTAGTTTATATACTCCTCTGTTGTACATAAGTAATATGTACATGAGTACATAGGTACATGTAACTGTTTATATTTTATACAAGGAGTATATAATATAACTTTATCAGAATTACATTAATTTATACATTATGACAACTCTATAAAAAAAAGTTATATTCTCTCTTTCTTTGACTTACCCTGTGCCGTGCCGTTGCGCAGGTAATGGAGCACATTGATATGGCGGTGGTGGTGGTGGTTCCTGTGACATACATTTTAAAAGAGATTTGCAAGAATGTTATATGATTTCATAACATATTTCAATCTGATATGCATGTATTTGCAGACGACACTTTACCTGACCTCCTTCAACATCTGAAAACCTTCTCTTAACTCCATGTGATTTTTGCTGTTCTGGCGAATCGGGTTTTTGCTCAAATTGCTGATGCGGCGGTTGCATTGCATAATGTACTTGCGTT